GAGGGAGGGAGGAGGGAGGGAGGGGTATTTGTTGCCATGGCGAAAGGTTCTTCAAGCAGCTGCTGATTCGCCTGTGCTGTAGCGCACCCCTTTCCATTCTTCTCCTCTCCCTCTCTCTCCTCTGTGTTACCGCCAGCCGTTCAGGCGAGAGATTTGTACACTACGCGGTCGCCTGTGGACCTTCCTGCTTCAGACCTTCTACGCGGTCCGCCACACGCAGGGATGGGACAGCCTGTCTTCCAAACACAGAGAGAGGATACTGGCAGGTAAGGAAGGATATTCTTGTCTCTAGTCACACACGGGATATTCATACTGCGGCATGTGTGGATCTATGTTTTTTTTTTCTCTCTCTCTAACCCAGCCTAGTGCTGAAGCAGTGGCTCTGCATCATTACAGATGAACCGAAGCCCTTGGAGCATATGTTGTTGGCTGATTCAACAATTGATGGCTTCTTTCTGCACAGCTGCCTAGCTCCTTTATTCTGTTATGTTATAATTGTTTGCTTTATGTGAGCTACCTTTTTAACTGTCTCGGGCAAGTGAGTGGACGCTAACATGGTAAATGCACCAGACGCGCCATGCTTGTTTAAATGGGTGGGAGTGGAAGGCAGGATTCTTATCTTTGAGCGTCTGCACATGTTTAGAAGCTTTCACAAATACAAATAATGTACTCTTTCCTCACTGCTACGCTAGTAATGTGTTGAAATTCACTGCATGAATAATTGATTTGGCTGGTATCAGTGTGTGCCTATTACTGGTACATTTCTTGCCAGTGTAATCGGATTCCAGGTCTTACATGCAAACATTACAAATGTACTTCAATGAATAGAGTTTAATCATTCAACTCATTTAATTTTGATTAAATACAGTAAATCACAAGGCTCTGAAATTGTTTGTATATGAAGAAATGGTTGTGCTTTGCGCGGAATAGTCCTTGCCAGACATGGCTGACTGATTAATCCATTGATTTAATGTTTGTTTCCTAGTGTTCAGACAACCAACGGGTAAACACGGGGTGTGGAAATGAGAATTTGTGAATGAAAAGAATGGCTGTCTAGCTCACATAATGAAGGACCCAGGCAGCGTGTTGAAAAAAAAATGCTGCAGCCCTTTTCATCTGTGTTATGCTTGGTCTTGAATCATCTGTTTTGCAGGCAAAATACTAACTGGCTAATTGATGATTTTGTCTTCCTTTTATCCTGTTCTGACAGATGCTATTGATAAAGGGGACAATCGAAGACTTGGTAAAAAGCCTGTATTCACTAGCTCACAGGTAATATTATCATCCAACAACGCATTAACATTTGTTCTTTCAGTTGTATTTTTAAGTTTTATTGATCACTCAGAACTCTGACTGTGACTTAGCTGATGATGTGAATTTATGAGGCTGTTTTAGTTCAGATAAACTCATGTAAGTTTGTATAATCTCTGACTGTGATTACAGTCTGAGTCTGTGGCCATCAGATGCCATATGTCATAAATGCCCCACCCTCACAGCAAAGAGAGAGAGTATGAATTGAGCAGCAGGGCCTCTCTAAGCAGATGTATATCTAAGATAAGCCTGGCTGAGGTGATCCAGATAGGGATTGCCAACGTGTTAGGCATGAGTGGTTAAGAGCTTTGGAGCTCCCACAGATCTCTCAGGAAGTGGTTTGATGCAGTCAAAACAGGAACTTTGCCTGTCTCTAGGCTTTTTGTGCTGATTCTCTGAACCTGCAAGACGCAGTTCACTGATATAATTGTTCCAGTGACACTAAAAGGCAATTATGAATTCCCAGTTTAAGTTCACAGAAGCACCATTTCTTCTATATATATTCTATACATTCTAATATTTGCTAAAATTTGAAAGTAATAATAATAGACTGTTTAGAGGCTGAGGTGATGTTAGACAGCATCTTTTCTAGTGGTACGCTCCAGTGGCTTGTGGAAATCTGCACTAATGTTATTCTGTTTGATATGATTGCGCTCTGGTTATTTGCCGATTAATCCAACCTTACTTACAGTTACATCACTAACGTGGTTGTATTTTTTTCCTGCAGTCAAGGGCTGTAAAATGCCCTCCATCTGCACCTGAGAGTCCTCCTGTGCACAGGACCCACAGGGTGTCTGACAACACAACTTCTTCCTCCCGTAGTGCTGCATCAGCCATGAAGTCTGATGGACTGGGGACAGCTAACAAACCAGGTGATGGTAACACATCCAAGACAAAGAATGTGAAAAAAACAGGAGATCGGAGTGTAGCAGCAAAAGCAAAGACAGCATCAGCTGGCACACCAGTTGTCAACGGCACAGGAGCTGCCGGAGCCAGGCGGGATGTAGCCAGTGCCAATGGCCCCCGAAGCTCTCAGGGGGCTAAAGAGCAAGAGAAGAAGCCAAACCCAGGTGCACGGCCTAAAACATCTCCCCCGAGCTGCACATCTACAAGCCAGACAACGGTAATGAAAGCTCAGAAGAGCTCAGCGGGAAAGGCTGACAGCACTGCTGGCACCACCCAAGCTCAGCCTAGCGTTTCATCCACATCGGGCAGTGCGTCGCCAGAGAACGGTGCCAGCAGCCCTCGCACTGACACCCACTCCATCCCAGGTTTACACTCTTTATTGACTTCTTTACATTTCATCATTGTGACTGACACCAATTACAATATAGGACATCACTGTAGCCAAGATGAAATGTCGACAAGTCAGGTCCAGGCGTAATACTGTAGCTGGAGTATGAAAGGACCTGTGGACTAATTAGTATGATGAATGCTGTGCTATGGCCAAGAGGGATTTTGGGAAGACAAGGGCAGTGTTGTGTATGAATGTTGATTTATCAGGAAACAAAGCACATGAGGCTGTCCTTGGCAGCCTGCTGGTATCAGTGTACAAACTCACAGCAGAACAGCAGAGGTCAAAGCCCTATACAGCTGCCTCACAGGGGAGTGTGACTGATCACTGAGCTTTTGTTGTGAGGATGGTTTTAAGGAGGTGGGGTATTCCGGACTGATATTAACGTCAACGGCTAAAGTGGGCCTCAGCTGTCTGCCCTGCTGGTACAGGCGCAGCATGTGTCCCTGTAACCCACCCTGAAAGTGATCTGTGATGTGAGCTCACACACTAACAGCACATTACCCTACCCCTACCATGTGTCCCTGCTACCCTGAAGATTATTTGGTTTATTTCATTTTATTGTGTATAGGACTTATGTGTAGTCTTGGTGGATTTTTTTGAAATCTCCCCTGCCAAAACTTCTATTTACAACATTTGTACATGTGGTTCATTTTCTGTATTTTAGGTGCAAAGCCCAAACACCAGGCTAAGGCGGTGAACAAATCCCCTCTGACAAAACCTCCTCAGAAATCAGATACAACAAAGACCAGCAGGTGAGCTTTACTCCTAGCAGTATGGTGCTTATAATTGTGGTTTGTCCTTGCTTCTCGTGTGTTTAATGAAATGCTAGGTGTAACATTCAAAGGCTGTCAAAAGAAAAATGTAACTTAAGTAAGGGGAGATTATTTTTAAGGGTTCAGGGAGCAAATCAACAAAAGCATTTTGGTTGTTAATAATTTCCTGTACACAAGCCAACATTAATGAATTAAGTATTATACAACTGCAAATGAACAATACTCAGAAAATAAAGGACCCATTTGAGATATATCTAATTTTTGCGACAAATGGATTGTTTACCACTCTGGCTCTGCCTGGCAATCCACAAGTATAGTATTATATGTTAGTCCTACACAGACACAAGTACCAAGGGGCAGAGGAAAGGGTTGTATTAAAACGATTAAATGGTATAAATGATCTCAAAAGATGGATGAAGGGCGTGGAACTTGACTGAAAATATCAGAAACGACTGAGCCCAGAGTTAGATCATGAGAATCCAAATCTTGATACATAGCTGATAAATTATCTGCACGGATCCTTTCAAAAAATACACAAAACCACATTCAGTGCATCAGTTCATTCAAAACATTCAAACAAGGAAACATGACCTGAAGCCACTGGTATTACTGTTTGTATTAGGTTACAGCCTATACAGCTGCAGTCTGAACTTGAATGTAGTCTGAACAAGTGCTATGCATCCTCACTGCAGTTTTAACATGTCAGGCCTAGCTGCAATATGAGCTCAATGCCAATATATCCAACCCCATTAGCTTAAAGCATTCAGGGAATGGAAACAAAACAAACATACCTTAGACTGCACGCTAATGTGATGCAATGTAGGACAAATAAGATGGTATCACCTTGTTGTTTTAGGCCACATGTGGCTGTCAAGGGGATAAAAGCAGTTGTGTAGTGTTTTATGACAAGCCTCTTATCTGTCCTTCAAAAGTGGTAAAAATACCCATTTTTACAATCAGCATCATTCAGAACTCCATCTGTCCTGGGAACATATTCATAGTCTCCCTGAAAAGAAACCATGCAAGTAAATAGATGATAGTCTAATAATACACACTGAGATGGCAACAATTCATCTATGTAATATCCACATTTTATGCTTCTGGATTTTGGTGCTCCCGCCTACCAGTGTTAGTTGTATAATTGATGGGTCTTTGGAAGTGCAGGTAACATTGAACTCCCCTCTAAAATTATGTGACAAAACTGTTTATTTTCACATGATGTATTTTTTGCACCTGGCCTGTAATATCAAATATCATGACAATCTAAGGTTCTATAAAACTGTACTAGGTAAACTCACTATAAGATGTCAGATAATAAATATGATATGGACAGATATAAAAATCCATCAACCTTGGGCACACAGCAAAACTAAAATGTGATTTCTGTTCTCTTGTTCCTAAAGTGAGATTTAGTTCAAAACAAACTTAAAACCAGGGAAGAATATCCTTCACAAGGACACAAGTGACAACTTGAAATTATTTGCATTGATAATCAGCCCATGTCTCAGAGGCTTGACCTTGACTAAATGGGAGAAAAAACGTTGCTGCTCCCTGCTGGTGTGAAATATGAATTCATGATTTACTGTTCCTGCAGCTCCTCCTTATAAATATGTATACTGATAATGTGAGCCAGAGGTATTACTAAATTGGAATATTGTGGTAGAAACATTTGTTGTTATATGGTTTGTTGTCCGTTTTACCAATCACAGTCCTACCAATAAGCCAAGTGTGAGAGAAAGTAGCAAAGCCAAGACTGGTGCTGCAGAGAAAGCATCTACTGGAGTGACAGCAGCAAGAGCAGACACCAAGGGAAGAGGCACACCAGATCACCATGGTGAGCTGTTCAATGTCTGCTGGATTCAAATGTCTGTCAATATACTATAGCAATGTATTAACGTTCTGTTCTGATTTTGGTTTAGTCTCCAAGCATGGGTCCTCTGTGAAAAAGCCAGCTTCCCCAAGGAAAGAAGACAGCAAGGACGGGTTGAAATCCTCAGCACCAGACAAAGCAGCTAGTGAAGCTTCTAAAAAGAAGATCACAAAACCTGTTTCAGTGACTGGAGCCTCGGCTAAATCCAGTGCTAAACCATCAAAAGCCTCTTCAGCCCCCTCCAAACAGTCTTCTGTAGTAGCTGCCAAGTCTGGACCAAAGCCAAAGAGTACTACTGAATTACCTATGGAGAAAGCTTCTATAAAATCTGGAGGCACTTCCAAAACCTCAGCTGCTGCTGCTGCCTCCAAGAAATCAGGAACTAAAGGAAAAGAGGCAGTGAGTTGTAAAACTGAGCTTGCTCCAACTGAAAACCCTGGTGATGTTGCAGTACATAAAGATAGTACAGAGGGAGCACTCTCTGACCAGCCCGCAGCACACACACAGCCAACAAGCCAAGGCGGAGGGGATTCACTTAGCCTAGAATCAAGCCCTAAGCAGAGGCTTCAGAAGACAGAAATACAGCCAGGAAATGGTACAAATGAGACCAGTGTCACACCAGCACCTAACAACATCCCTCATATCAAATCTGCTCATAGAGGCACTTGCAAACAGTCTTCAAGCGGTGTCATCCCCGCTCACATCGGCGGAGGGCAAGTTCATGAGGTCAGCTCCCTGAATTCTCCAAGAGACACTGACCGTCCCGTAGATACCCCCTGTAGCATGGGTAGCACTGACACTCCCTTAGAGGACTCCTGGAGCGGCATCCACCATCAGGTCAGCCCAGAGTCTGAGACTGGCAGCACGCACACCACTTCCTCTGACGACATCAAGCCCCGCTCAGAGGACTACGATGCAGGAGGCTCGCAAGACGACGACTGCTCCAACGACAGAGGCGTTTCCAAGTGTGGCACCATGCGCTGTCATGACTTCTTGGGTCGCAGTAGTAGTGACACAAGCACCCCAGAGGAGTTAAAGATGTACGAAGGTGGGGCGGGGTTGAGAGTGGAGGTGCGGCTGCGCGGGCGAGAAGCAGAGACCACCAGCGAGGAGGAGGGAGTAAGACAGCGTCCTCGTTCCTGGTTGCAAAGAGATGAGGTTCCTGTAGAGGAGGAGCACTCGGAGGTTGAAGCCACAGTGACTGTAAAAAGCGTCCCCGACCACCAGCTCTTCTCCTCAGAGGAGGAAGAGGAAGACGAAGATGAGGAGGCGACAGAGGATGAGAGGTCTGAAGTTGAGGTGATTCCAGGTCAGGCTCCGCTGCCACCAACTGAACCCTCTCCACACTTTCAGGGGATTGTCAACCTAGCTTTCGACGACGACGGCGTGGACCAGGAGAACGACCAGCCCGACTACCAGTCGTCTTCCAACTTCCGCCGGTCAGTGTTGCTTTCTGTCGACGAGTGTGAGGAGCTGGGCTCAGAAGAGGGCGGCGTCCAAACTCCACCTCAGCAGCATGACGACGCTGTGACTCCCTGTGATGTTTTCGAGTCTGACTCCACAGTTACTGGCGACCAACAGAACCACCTGCCGTGCCATCTTGAAAACGCAGGTATGAACCACAAACAACATGACGAGGACAAAGAAGAAAAATCCTCCATATTCCTTACAGAGATCCAGGAGCCCATGCAGGAGGAAAGTAATCAAATCCAAGTGGATGGAGTGAAGTCCAGCGGGCCTCTCCTGGACGCTGACACTAGAGACATCCCTCCCCAGGAGCGCCCATGCCACCTGGATCTGCGGCACACTGAACAATACAACGGAGGGCTGCGCAAAAATCACACCAATCCCTCAGAAAGCAAGAAAGCTGATTTACATCTAGACTTAAATGAGCCTCAGCTGACAGGGGACTCTCCTGTACATGCTGCACAATCTCCAGCAGGTAATGTATGATCTACGGACCCTTCCTAGACCCCAAATCTGAACCCATCTCTTGTCCCTAAACTCCATCAGTGAAGGTTTAGTTTATCCCTGCAAGATTCATTCTCCTCTGCTCTGATTCCTAGACCTTACCTACATCCAACAAACACCTATCCCTCTTTCAGAAAAAGGATATCATTTAGCATACTAGTTTAGCAACTAGTTATAAATAAAGTTCAAATTCAAATGTAATCAGTGGTCATCGTATTTTCATAGCCAAAAGCTTCCTCTCATTCCAACCCATTGATTGTGTAGCTGTTGTAAATTTGAATTTGCAACATCAATATCCTTTTAAAGATGGAGATTGGTCTCATAATAACAAATAAACTGTACATTTTAAACAACTGAACTACCTTTAGTCAGAGGCATTTAGGCCTTGGTAACTCAGTTTACACAAAAAAGGGGAAAGCAGTGTACTCAACACTAAGACTGATTATAGAATTGTATTTGTCAAAAAGAATCTGCCTTGTGACAAGGCTTGTGACATAAGTATACCAATGCACTTTTATGTACATAAAAATAAGATTTTTCGATTATTTTTGTCATTTCTTTTATGCAGTGGAACAGTCGTTGGCCTTTTTAAGCCATAGATAATTTGACATATTTGGAGGTGCTATAAATAGAATTTTAACATCAATATATCGTTGCCAAATTAATTGTGGCTTATTGGTATAATTACTATTACGGTTAGACCACTGTTGAGATAATGTTATGCCATGCTACTTACACTGATATTGATAAAGCGTGTGTTTCTTACAATTTAGACTACACTACCTATAAAACACACTGCTCCTTGTCTCACTACTACAGTAGCTCCCTTCTTTCTTCCTTGCTTTTTCTTTAGCTTTATTGTAAAGGATAAATATGTTTGGCTTTTCATTTATAACACTTTCGCCATTTTAAGAAACACAAAGCTCTTCTTCTCTACAAACCTGCACCTTGTGGTACACTACAGCTGTTGCAGTGCAGCGTCACTAGACGCTTGACTTCTCAGTGATGGTCTTTTTGTTTCCAGTAATTCTACTAACATCTCAAAATTAATTTAAAAGATGTGTTGATGTTAAACTACCATATATAGCACCTTTAAAATTTGTGTTCAGGTAAATTACAAGCAAGTAATGCTTTTTGTCAAATTTCTGTAGAGTGAAGCCACTGCTTCTCAGAAAAGTGTGTTATACTGGGAAACTTTTCCCTTGCATCTCCTTGCTGTTTATTTTTATTGGAGAATGTACCTGTTCCTGAGTTGTTTTGTTTGTTATTTTTTATTTTTGCACTGCACACATGCATGCCACTATTAAAATTAATTTGTCATTCCCCTATACCATCCATCATTTTTGTGTATGTTTTTTTTTAATTATCCATTACCTTTTGTCATACCCAGTAGACTTGTGTCTAGATACATAGACTGTTTAAGAAAACTGTGTTCTGTTGTCTATAAGCTTTTGTTCAGTAGGTTTGTGTAGTGTCAGTAGCATCCTCTGTAAAGTATGTGATGTGTATCTAGAGCAGCTGTCAATGGTTCTGCCATGTCTCTCTTTTTTCACTATCATATTCAGAAAAAGAAATCCCACTGCACCATCACTGAGGGTCTGTCCCGATGCAAACATGTCAATTATTTTGTTTTCAATATCAAACAGCGATCAGCTACTTCATCGTTTGCCTTTTTGAAATTGTTAAAAACAGAAAACACAAAGAATGTCAACAGAAACTTGGTGGTGTTTCATCTTTTGTGCTACTAAGTTAAAGCACTGTTGCTTGCGTTTTACGTTTTTGTGACAGTATTTAAGTATGTTCCTTAGGTCTGCCCGTTCAAAGACCTGCACGTAAATCTCAAAACACATCACTGTTACTGACAAATGCAACGTTCACTCGTGCTGGCAATGCATGGCTTACTTTGTTTGAACAGGTGGATAAAGAGATGCATTCAGAAAAGCATTCCTCTGTGCATTACCTTTAAGGCAACTGTGCCCTTGACATCCATATTTGAAGTAACTGGTGAATTGTTAACTAATTCATTTAAAATTGGTACTGATAATGGTATTGCCATCTAGCTGACCATAATGTGACTCATCAGTCAGTCACTGCTTTCCACACTGTGCTGTCCTCACCTAACTTCACTATGGAATATCTTTTAAAGGGCACAGTTGCATTAAGTGTAAACTTTCAGTAATCAGTGTTTTATTGTAGTAGGCAGTGATTAGTCTCTGAAATGAAAAAAACAACTGTGGAGGAGTATACCAGTTTGTCATTTTGCAGTATTGTCAATTGTTTTTAGGGGACAATGGTTGTGACAGATTGGATCAAACCTGCAAACATGACCGCCGACCATCCAAAGCCCTCTCTCCCATTTACGAGATGGATGTGGGAGACGCCTTTGAGCACTGCTCGGACAAGGACAGGAATGTTAAACTGAAGGCAGAGAAGGAAAAGCAAAGAGGGGACGATGACAAAAGCAGCGAGTTTGCAGAGCGGGACTGGAGCCTGCTCCGGCAACTTCTCTCAGACCACGAGTCCAATCTGGGCATCATAAACCCTGTGCCTGAGGAGCTCAACCTAGCCCAGTACCTTATCAAGCAGACACTGTCTCTTTCACGTGACTGCCTGGACTCGGAGACCTTCCTGTCCCCAGAGAAGGAGACCTTCAAACGTTGGGCGGAGCTCATCTCTCCCATGGAGGACTCCTCCACCAGCATCACAGTGACCAGCTTCTCCCCAGAAGACGCTGCATCTCCACAAGGGGAGTGGACCATCGTGGAACTGGAAACGCATCACTGACTGCACAGAGGAGAGCCTGCCGGACAGTCAACGCCTTCTCCATGAACTTTAAATGTCTTTACATCAAGTTTGTCTTAATTTATTATAATTTATAAAATGATTCTGTCTCTCTTTTTGACATTTATGTTTTCCCGGACTCAGCACAACTCTGGACTTTGCAGCAGCTTATTTGCATTCGCCATTACGCCCTGTGGATTGTTTCTTGAAACAAATGGGCTGTTATGCATGCTGATATTTTTGTATGTTTGACTGTTAAATTGATGTTGCTTCGAAGCTCTAGAAAAGAATAGAGTAAGAAAAAACTTTCTTTCTCATGGCAGTCTTCTGATAATATGGTTGACTGAAGTTTCTTAAAGAAAAATAATATTGGCCTACTGGCTTGCATTTAATGTCATACTGAAAATAAAGATTTGTGTTTCTGGAAACAATGTGTTCCTCACTGTCAAGTCATGGAGTGATTATTTGATTGAGTGACAGATTTCTTTACATGGAACTGGGTTCAGGTTTATTCCTTTTTTGTAATTTTGTCAATTTTTCCTCTTGGCTTTTTTATACAGCACACAATAGACCTTTTAACATTACTCAACAGACTGTTTGACATGACATAGCTGGGAAAGCACCAGTGTAATAATAGAACCTTTTCATAGCAGCCATTTTGACATGAAATAGGGTAAACACAGGTGTTACCAATGGCACTAATTAAGGTCCTCTTTTATTCAGGTCAGAGTCAGGGTGCTGCTATTGTGCATGTTTGACCAGAAAGGCTCTGCTACACTAAATGGAACAGAACCTTAATTGGTATGATTGGTAACATGATGGACCATGGATGCTGTGAAAAAGGCCTATTAATAACATTAATTAAAATTTTCTCAGTGTTTTGGCCTGCAAAGACAGCCTTTCCTTCCAGTTAAAATGTCTGTCCGAGTAAAACATTTACTTACTTGCGGAGGGAAGAAAAAATAAAAAAAACAGCTGCTGTAAATTAGCATCAGTGGTAAAGGTACACCTGTGTCCACCAAGAATTAATAAACTCACCTGTGGAAAAAAATAGGTGGCTCGTTCCCGGCTTTTACCATTGGTTTTGTTATTTTTAACCACAGAAGATTTAAAGTGTCGTTAGATGAAACCGCAGCGGCCTCTCGTGGCTTCCTCACTAAACTGACGCTCGTGCTGCGTCAAGATACAGAGGCGGTTGTCTCGTGCGAACGCACCGCGAGGACGGTATCGATACCACGAGCCGAAATCAGTTTGAGGGTCTCACTATCAGCACTATCTCACTATCAGCACTATCTCACTATCTGCGCTGTTCATTTGGAAATGGCGACAGAAACGACTTCTCAGTGGAAAACAACAGTTATCGTGAGCACATCACTCCAGGTGAGAGTTAGTGACTCTTGAACTGTCAACATTTAGAGTTTGGTTAAATAAAGTGAAGAATATGGATTTGCTAGCTATCTAGCTAACGCAATACGACCAAAAACAAAACGCAAGAGTTGGTAAAATATTACTCTAATATTACTATTGTCTAGCTGTGTTAGCTCTGTGAATTTATTTCTCTTTGTTTTACCAGAACCATGATACAACCAGGATGCTCAGCGCGCAGCTGCACCGAATCAGGTTTTCAGACAGTGTTGAGTCCGGAGCGTTTATATTTCCTCTGTCAGGTAAACCTGCGATACTTCCTCCTGTTAGAGACCCCCATAACCTTTTAACATGGGCTTTCTAGAGCCCTCTAGACACTTGCCTTAGCATATAAACCCAGTATGCAACAGTAACTTAACACAAACAGTAGCTGCTTTAATGATCAGTTATTGAATCCTACCTACACAGACTGTGTATTCTTAATAAGCCTTTCTGTAATGGATGTTGTGACCACAGTAAGTCTCACTGTAAACAAATGATGTCATTTTCTGCTTGACAATAAGAACTTGTGACATTTCTCACTTACTTGCCTAGGTACTGCATTTCTGTTGGTTGACCCTGAAGACGTCCCAGGGGGTTTTGAGGAATCTGGACTCATTGAGAGGATAAAGAAGTTTGTGCAAGTACACCGGAACAGCTTTCTACTTCTGCACGCCCCATTCAATGGGACAAAGGAACTGGAAATATTGACTTTGATTCAACAAAGGTATATAAATGGCTTCATTACAACTTCTGTCACTTCTCCAAGTTGTACTCTGGAAGTGTGTTACCCCCTTGTTTGACTTGACATAGTGGTTCTTCAACTTTTACTGGGGCACCCACCCCACACTTTTTATCAAACCAATACAATGATGGGGAAGAAACTAACAAAAGGGGAATTCAAGTCTATTTTTAGTGAAATAAAGGTCTCTTTTTTTGTTTATTTTCCCTGCATAAATCATATTCATTCAACCTAGTTTCACTCCATATTTTCCCCTGCTCATCCACAACCCCCATACAGTTGCTTTATGTCCCACCCCCGGCTGACAGTTGAAGAACCACTGCACTGATGTAACCAGGATTCTGATTTATATGATTTTTCTAGTTCTCATAATTGAGGAAGTGTGTTTCTCTTTTAGATTCTTTGGCAGCAACCTCCGGATCCTGCCTGTGCGAAACAACACTGAGATTGTCCAGGGAATGTTGACAATTGCAAAGGTAAAGATGGAGGCAATGCACAAGCATATTATTTGGTAATTCCTGATAATACATTAGACATGCTGTTGTCTTGTGATACTTTGAAGTAACCAGAGGCTCATCTGTTTGCAGGCCACCAGTAAGCCCCTTGTAGAGAGCATCCGGGACCGGATGTCTCTGGCTCGGGCTCACGTCATTGAGAGCAGTCCTGTGTGGGAAATGCTAAGAGACATTCTGTAAAGCTCAGCAGGTGATCCAGCATGTTTTCACAAACACCTCTGTTGCTTTTATTTGATGAAAACCCGTACAAGCCTTACTTGTTGAATACAAAAAGCAATAATATAGTAGCACAGTTTGTTAAATTTTGAACAACAACTTTGCCATAGAAAAAATCACACTTTATTTATTAAATGCAATGTTTTTTATCAGTAAAACAGCAAATAAAATAAAACACTGTTTAGAAAGAACAGGTGGTCCGAGGAGCACACCGTTTAGTTTGGGATCCTCAGCTTTTCCTCTGTGATCTCCTCAATACGGACGATGAGACTCTCCATCAGGTCAAATGTCACCAAAGCACTCTGCAACACCTGTGACACACAGGACTATTCAGCTTGCTGCTCCTATCGAATCAAAAGGATAATTATTGGGAAAGAAAGTTTCTGTACCTGGTGCTGCACCTCTGGGGATATATTGGACACTTTCTCATGTTTCACCGTTATGCTTTTGACTAATCTGGTGGATCTAGCTGCATCTCTGGCTTCTGGAGGAGGAAGATGGAGATGGTTCACAGTATGAGAACAGGCTATTGTACCACCATTTATGCAAGGTTATTCCAATGTCATTTTGATGCACAGATTAGCAGCTAATGCCTACCTTTTGCTTTTAGCTTTTGATCCTCCCTCAGTGCTTTCAGTTCAGCAGAGTAATGCGCTCTTGATATGCCGATACACACGCGCAGCATTTTAAGGTATTCGTCTTTGATCCTGCACAGCTCTTCCCACACATCTGTCTGAAAGTAGGAGGAGTAGATCATCAGCTTTCTGTATTAACCAGGCTGGCTGGCAGAAGAGCAGTGTAGTGTTGAATTATTAGACTTACAGTGCTCCTCAGTTCTTTGTCTCTGAGAAGGAGATAGCGTAGAAGATTCAGACTCTCCATTATCCTGGATGAACAAAGATAGGGCATTGCTTAGTGGCTCAGTCTGGAGGAAGTATCTCAGTTCTCACAATTACAGACCTTTTGTCTTTGAATCTTCTAAATCTACATTCATTTAGCTCCATATTTAATCAAATCTTGTCTGGCACGCCGGAGTACAAGAGTAAAAGTAACAAATGAGCAGACCTGTCTGTTAAACCATTGTTCATGTTACTTACCTGTCCATAGTGTTAAGCAAATCCGTCTCTGCACCTTGTGGCAAACAGAACACCAGTCCCAACAAGGAGAGCAACTCCTCTCCAAGGAACCATTTATTGGCATTACCCGACTGGAGGAGAGTAATCACAGATTAAACGAAGGCAGGACCTTCTAAATTCTTATTTTGTTTTTAAGACCAACTCTGTCATCTTTTATCTCACCTGCACAGAAAAATCTACTTGATTCCTGATGTTCTTTACTATATAACTCTCTACCCCTGCATGGTTGCTGGTTTTTAGCATGCACCTGCAACAGAAAATGGGACTTTGTAAATAGACTTCAGATCAGTACAAGATGTAGCTGCTGACAAAACTGACTGCTGACAAAGTTGAATAGACTGAAATGAAATTCCTAATGATCTTTAATATCTGGTAAAAAGTCTTAAATTAAACCTGTTGAAACCTGCAGAATCCCTGCTAAAGCACATAACTGATATGTAGATGAAAAGTAGGGTAATGTATGGTTTACAACACAATTGTATGGAAAACAGATGTAATTTAAACTAGGAAACATTTGTTCCAAATTTTATATGAAACAATATATGTAGTAGATGCTAAATACATTTGATAGTGATCTTTATAAAATAACATGAATTTAAAGCAAATACACACGTGCAAAATGTGAATTATATTTACACAGTCAAGTTTCTAAAAGCATATAAACAATATATGATGTACTTGTGCCATTGGCATGCATCTCACCTGAAGAACTTGTGCTTTGCTTCAGCATCTAATTTATTGATGAAGAGCTGGAAAAGCTGCAGTCCTGATTCTCTCTGGGGAAGCAGTGATCATACAAGAAAGAGAATTCAACAAATGAATGTGTCTCACAGTATCACAGACAGATAATACATTCCTCTCATCAAAGATAATTGTATACTCACCAAATGTTGCATTGGGCAGTCGGTAAGAAGGCGCCGCAGGTTCTGTGAATGCCAGTGCACCACAGGTCACTGATTGGTCAAAAGTACCCATATACTGTAGTTCATTGACTTGGATCTACTACATCTGTAGGTCACCATGCCAACTGGCCCATTGTGCTTACTGATATTCTAGTTGGAATAACTGTAGTCGTAGTAGTAAAGGTTTTTGCTTTACATTTTGTGAAAAATATATTTACAAAAAGCTTAATCCTACAACCGATCTACAGTTTGACTATGATAAACCAGTTTAAGTGTCACCTCATCACCTATCATATGTAATAATGCAACGTGAACTGTAAAACTGAGCCTGATGACTTGCTTGTCTTACCCGTGGCACACTGTAGAAGTTCTTCAGTTCCAGTAGACTCACTGGAAGGCTGTTGTCCTGCACACTCTCCAAGCTTTTTGCATACAGTGCCTGATAATACACACAAGATAAATGACCTCAGTTTTCTCCCTTCGCACTTTGTTTTATCTCATCTCTAAGAAATGTTTCTCCTTGTTGATGTAGCCTTACCAGCCCTTTGAGCAAGTGTGATTCCTTTTTGCTGTTAAAAACACAACATAAATTAAGAAATCAATCACTTTAAAACAAGAATTATATTCAGCTCATATTGTGTTGACAGCGTACCTACTGAGTAGTTGATTGATGTGTTCCATGTTGCACTGAAGAACAAATACAGGACTGGAACAGCAGCAAAACGGTACAATGTAAATAGTTTGTCATAGGACAGTAACAATAAGGCATTGTTTATTCTGTGTGTCGGAGAATTTGCGTCATCGGTCAGTTTTAATTTCACCTGAATACTGCTGGAAAGCTGTCTATGGTGATGAGCTGGACAAACAGTAGATAGGCCAGACAAGCCCTCGACTCCTTGGACTGACTGTTGTCGGCCTGTTTCTTCAGAGAGTTGAAGAACAGGAGCTCTGAGAGAGACTCTTGGATTGTCGGTAGCGTGACCTGATGCATAGCAACATTGTTAAAGTAATAAAAGCACACTGAAACATCGCACATTGTTTGACTGCTTTCCCACTGAGAGAGAAAAGGAAGAAAAACTTGGTCTTACCATTATCTCTGTTGCAAAGAGCCACAGTGAGGATCTTCTGTCTCTGTTCAGTTCAGCCTCGAGCAGAGGATTTCTCAAGCTCCTCATGCAGCTGCAGGTAATCACAACTAACCCTTTTACAACCGTTTTAACATTAGTGCTTCTACTCCAAGATGATTATTTTAACCTCCATTTAAAAAAAAAAAACATCTGAAACACAAGCTAATTCTAATTGTCTTGTCTAAACTAAAATAACACGTTTGCTTTTTATAAGCTTTTCTTTACTACAACAGAAATAACTACGCTAAAAATGAAAAAAATAATACAGCCAATATGGACTATTACTATTGAATATAAATAATAATGATAAAAATAAGCACAAAAAAACTAAAATAATAATTTAATAACACCCCATTGCTGTAACCCACCCAAACGCAGAGACAGAAACCTACAACTTGAGAAGCACAGTCCTCAGCTCCTCATCCTCAGATCTGGTCATGTAGTTTCCATTTTTCCTCTTCACCTCCTCTACGAACGGCTTTGTGAACGCAGCCATGGCGTTGCAGCAGCGACACACACCGTGCTCATCAGCCTCCTCCTGCTGCTGACTGTAAGGTACAGGCAGCCGGGACAGCTGCTTCTGCACGGCGGACAGAGCCAAGCCCAGACAGGCTGCCTTTCTGTCCTCCAGCCGGAGCAGCACTTTTTCAAGACACAAGGTTGCTGTTAGTTAACATGAACATACAGCAGGGGGAGCCAAACACCTTTTTATTTATACAGCTGCTTTGGCTTGATCAGCAGTAAACCATCCATGAATACATCTGAAGTAGTAAGCAATATAAAGGCTCATCAACTCTTCATTCATTATGCAACAGTTATCAATGTCATTGAAAGTGTAATTGTGGTGCTTTTTTTTTCTCTGCGGGTTAAAGATGTGTGATAGCATGGCATCAAGAGTTGTGTTACCTGTTTGAAGATGTGGAACAAGGGCTAAGATGGTCTCAGAAATGGCTCCTGGGTCAATGTTTTCAATTGGTTCCAGCAAGCTATGCAGGAGTTCATCTGGGCTGCACGTCTAGACAACAGAGCAGACCTTAAGCATATTGTAAAGGAAGCATGGCTCTTTATAAAGATGAATTGGTGGTACCTACCTTAGTCAGATGTGTGATGGCAGCCTGGCAGTGATCGAGACCCTTTCTCTTTCTAACAACTTCATTTACAAGAGGTGCCATGAGAACACAACCCATAGACTTCACAATGCCCTGAGTGCAAGAGGAAACAATCATCATACTGTATCAGTAACCAGAGAAACAGACACTGTTGTTGAAGGTTTGCCCAGCGCTTTCTTTCCATTTGCATGCGTCGCTGCATAAACAGGTGCATGCAGTTTCACACTTGCTTTGCATTAATACCAACTGCAACTTTAAGTGTGCTATAACAGCTGAAAAAATGCATGATGGTGTGTGCTAGGAGGGCATCTCCAAAATGGTAGAGCAGCAGGGCTTCTTAAAGCCACCAATGCCTACAATCAATGGACCTAAACAGCAGCTCTTGGTATATGAATGTAGGAAATGTTGGATGGCTGAGAAACAATTTAATTTCCTATAAATATTTTGTTGTCTGGAACAAATATTATAATTTGGTACTAATTAGAGGGGAAAAATACAAATGTCAAAAATAAAAAATAAAAGTAGCATTTACTCCAAAGTAAATATTAATTCACCACCTATATTCTATTGTAAATTATTCATATATATTAAATTGTATACTACAATTTTGACATAGTTGCATATTCAGCTAAACTGTGTGAACTGTGCACAATCTAGGTTACATGAATTATTAATTAGAATTTATCAATTAGATGTGTACAAACTGAACACTGAAAGATCTCTCATATTCCTATAACAAATCATTAAATTCTGTTAAAAAAATCTTTTCTTCAACAGAAATGAATGATTTGTTTTAGGAATCCTGTCACTGTCAATACATGATACAGACCAGTGGTCCCCAACTTTTTTACTTAAGGGGCCACTTTTCTGTCATTGATTAAACTGAAACCCCTGATTATGTGACTTATTTT